CCCACCCCCTCCACCTCCCACCCCCACCACATCCTCCAACTACACTTGAACGTGTCCAAGAGACCACCATTTGTCAAGGAGAAAAGTGGTCATCTTAGACAGGTGGTCCTCTTGAACAGTGTTATTATAATATAGAAAACATGTTGGAGTGAGAGGGGGAAATGGTTATTTTGGACAGGTAATCGTTAGGACAGGTTCAACTGTAGTCAAATAAGCTTTCTTTGTCTTGTTCCTTTTTGCAGGATTGTGTGGATCCTACGATGATGATAAGTCCAATGAGTTTTTCAACCTGGATGGAATTGACCTGAAAATAGGTGGTAAACAACAGAAACAGTTCTCTGAATACTGGAGGTAAGAAATATCAGTCTGTTAGGCTATTTCAAGATTGTTCATTCATTGTTCATTGTTTCAGGAAGCAACATCCCTGCACTCCGGACATGTCCATTGATGCTCCGTTGCTCTCTCCAAAATGTTGCGGAGGGTCCTTCTACTGATTGTGCCAGTGCACATCTGGTTGAACATTCTTCTGTTCTTTCCTGCAAGGATGCCAGATTTTCTGCTTCTTTTTTGTATTCCCAAAAGCATCATCCTCTCCACGGCAGTACTGGCCTCTGCCTCTCTATCTTCCTCCTCAATCAGCTGGCAAGAGAGACATTTCAGGATCTCAACCCTATCTGGTTGAACTGTATTGATAACTAAGGTGGCCTCACCAGCCAATCTGTTGGCTTTTTCATTTCCCCTAACAGCTGCATGGCCAGGGCAGAAAATCCATGTGAGCGATTGTATAGGCGTTGGTTCGATAGCTTGAATCCATTCTGTTCTCAGGAAACCTTTTTCGATCCTTCTGAGGGTACTCATGGAATCAGTGATAAGAACAGCATGGGTTGTGTGGGGGCGATCTTGGGTCATCCAATCAAGTGCTTTCGTGATGGCTTCAATTTCCATTCGCATACTTGATGTAGCCCTGCTGTAGGCTCCAGATGCACTGTGTATGATTTTACTGTTGACGAATGCAACAAATCCCCATCCACTTCTCTGGCTATCTCTTTTCACTGAACCATCTGTATAAATTATAGGATCCCCTGCTTTTGAGTTTGTGTCGACAATCTCGTTGATATCGCTCTCGTTGATGGTGGCAGCAATATTTCTTCTGTCTCTGCCCATGCTTATTTTTACCTTGGTGAGGTCCCTGTATTCTCCTGTCACCTGTTCCCATTCTTCGCCTAGTGGTAAGCTTTCAGGTACACAGATTTTTCTCAGGGAATCCTCTGCTTACGCCATCCAAGATTTTCCTCTCTTGATTCTGCCTCTCCTGTTGTCATGAAGTGCTTTGTGAAGTGGATGATCCTTCTTGCCCATTACACTGAGATACATCTTTGTCTGGGCTATCCTATGGCGTACTCTGATCCCACTTAAACCTAGAAACCTTTCAAGAGGTCACTCTTTGGCACTAGCTGTTCTGTTTTAAGCAGGAAACACTTTACCTTTCAGGGAGCTATTTGTAAACAATTGTTCATTTTGACTGCTCATGTAAGACTCCATCAGGGCGCTGCACAGTTGTGACCAGCTCAAAAAGACACCGTAACAGTTATAAGTTTAACAAAAGAGTAGACTGGCTGTTCAGGAAAAATTCAAACTAATGTATACTCTCACTGGAGATACTCTAATCTAAATAGAAGTAAAATTTGCCTTGAAATTGGAATAGATGCCTGCTAAGAAGGCAACGTGAACTGCTTTTTAGAAGGAAACCAGGCAAGATGCATGGAAATTAGATTAGTTGCTCTGTATTAAGATTACCCTTGTCATTTTGCGGGAGAACAGAGAAGATGAAAATGAAAAAAACTGGAAAGATTCAGATGGATGTCAAAAATATATCCAGACTTATTGGATAGCCTTTCATAACAGAGTACGTGGGTTTATGAGATAGCCTTTCATAATAGAGTACCTGGGTTTATGGGATAGTTTCTTATAGCGGAGTACTTGGCTTTTTCTTTGGAATATCACCCTTCAACACTTAGGTTATTACTGAGCTACTCAAAATTTAATTTTTCCACAAAGAATATTGTTGTTCATTCTGATGTAAACATGAACTGTATGTTTCAGAGTGAAAAAAGAACAATCAATTTATTCTGGCTTCTGCCCGGAGGACATTGAAGATCGTACAAGTTTTGAGTACTGCAATTGTGTAGCAGGGGCTGCACCAACCTGTGGAAGTGACTTGAACCTTGTGGCCTGCAAAAAGGATTCAGTTCTCGAAACGTCAATCATCAAAATATGTAAGATATATGTTAGTTAATTGTCAGGGGGTCCTTCAAGCCATGTTACTGGATTGCTTAAGTTTATTATTTTACTAGGCCATTCTTTCAAGTGCCTGCTTTGATGAGTAGACTATGAAGTGCACTGAATTGCAATTGAGATTAAGACATTTTTCAAAACGTCTTTAATTGACACCTGGATGTAGAGTCAAATGGGTTTTGGTGAAGATACAAAGCATCAAAGAATTTGATTTTACTTTCCCAAATATTTTGGAGTACCACTAGCCACAACACTAATGCCTCTCTAGAGGTTGAATATATGCTCGGATGTTTGGGACTATTCTTCTTTTGGTCTTAGGGTTAAAGAAAAGTTAAACCCCCATTTCAAACTGCTTGACTTAATGCTCAACATCTGGGGTTGTTCAGTGGGTCACAATTAGGTTACAGCTATGCCTTACAGGAACAGAAACCAGCAAACCACACAGTGTAATTATTGGGATCCTCGAAGACGTTTGGGGAGGGAGGGGGAGGTAAAATTAAACATTACTGGTTCTTAGAAAGGGTGGATGATGTCAAGGTCCATGAATACAGACATGCTAATAAATACTTTGTGATACATGTAATTTTCACATTTCTGTGATGCAAGGTGGCGACCGAAAGAAAAGGAAATAACCGTTTTATGTGTGTTACTATGTTGTAGATGAAGATATCACAGCTGAGTTGGTAGCATCTTCTGAAGAGCCAGAGCATTGCTTTGATCCTTTGGCAGAACTCATAGAATTTGAGTTCAATATCAACTACACCTTTGAGTTTACGGTAAGTGATGGTGGATTTTATGGTAAGTGATGGGAGATTATCTTCTATGGGCCTACTAACTTGAGTTAAAAACGTACGTTTTGAATAAATTTTTTCCTAGAATGCATTGGTATTCAAGTACAGATGGTCATGTACTCATTGATTTACCAAGTTTACATTCTAGCTCCTCTGAATCATGGTAAAAAATAGACAAAGTGCATTAGAATTATAGAGGTTTTTTACATCATTCCTGGAACTGAAATTGCTGGCTATATTGATGAAAATCTATCTGAGGGCTTTTTCTAAGTAGATTCTTATTTATGTTGTGTAGAGAGGCTAGGGAAAGGCAGAAAAATGTTTCATTACTTTATTTTTCAAATACGAGTCGGCAGAAATGATCGTAAAGAGCATGTACAATTCATTCATGATCGGCTTCCAAATCCCAAGGTTTTTGAGCATCATTTACTCATGAAACATTTTTTGTCAACATTTAAATAGCAAAACGTCTCTCATGCTTTAAGTTTTAATTCAGTGGCCTATTTACACATATTTACTTCTGCCATCTCTGCAGGCCTACCCAGAATTTTGGCACCATGTCCTTCCCTTCCTTTTTCTACAAATCTCACAATTTGTTTTAATTTGGTTTCATTTTTATGGCCACAATGTGGTGCTCTGTCTTGATGACTGTCAGCTTGCCTAAGTTATTTTATTTTTTCTAATGCCCTTTGAGCATGTCTGGTATTGCCACAAATTTTGCATTCAAGATTTTTACATTAAGGTATAGATCTAGGTGTTTCTGTAGTTTTTAGACTTATTTTTACAACTTTATTATGTTTGTCTTTGTATTAAATACTATCAAATTCGGATTTCAAGCAAATATTTCCGTATGTCTGCCACTCATTTTTAAAATTTTTTTTTTTCCTTTCATATACTATTGTAAAACGTAAGTGTTGTAATACCACCAACAAATAATTTGATTTATCCTAATGGAATTGTTTCAGAATGTCTTCTGGCCAACACCTAGTGGTATAGAATATGAACATGCAAAAGATCTGTGTGGATCAGCACTGATGAGCTCAAGTCTGAGTGCTGCTGGTTGCGGTATTGACTTCACAGTCGATGTGGAAAGTGCCATTGAGTTTTGTATCAACGACATCAAAGTAAGTGCTATCAAGACTGGTCATTACTGTCATGTGTGTACATCTATAGGTTGGACTTAATTGGCCAACTGTGTTATAACATCTCAAGGCCGTAACGTGACCTTTTTGATAATAAAGGACAACTTCCGTTACTACTCATTCTCAGAGAGGTCTTGTGTTTGTTTGTGAGCACGTTTCATAATTATACATCAAGCTATAAGCATAACCAAGAACGTCGTAACAATTACTGTGTAAAAAGGTGATGGTGGCTAAAGTGGTTTATAGCAGACTGGACAACAGAATTGCTTCTTTGACTGTTGCATAAATGTGTCGTGTTTTAGTCAGCATGCTTTTTCCTCAGTTTGTAGCCTATGAATTGCATCTTTGGTTTATTTACTTTTGGAAATCCTTTCATAAGTTCAAAGTAAACCTAAGTAGCTGACCTTGTTGCTTACTTCACCAAACAAACCAAGCAAGATTCTTCTATTTGTGTTTGTTTTATTTGTCTTGCCTGCTGGCTACAACACGCTTACAACAGTGTAATGCTCTTTTCACAACCCTGGCGCCTTCTTACATCTGTCAGATGACATTTTGTGGGGATTTGTATGGGCCTCACCAGAGGTGAGTGGGTGGTTGGCAGGTGCTCTGGTGTGGTTTGCTCCTTCTTTCCTATCAAACATCTATCGTCCTTATCTCCCCTTCTTCTTTTTTATGTTTGTTACTCTCTTGTAACACCTCTAATCTTCTGGCGCTCATATGGCCTTATACAGTTGTGAATGCCGTAAAACCTCTACAAAAGCTAAGAAACACCAGAGGTGTTGGCAGACTATGACTTTGCGAATAGTTCGTCCACAGCCTCAGGTTTGCTAACAATTGCTGATACAGACTGCACAAGTTAATCATGCAACTTGTTTCATTTCTACTTGGCTATGTTTTCATAATGGTCCCTTCTAACTCTGTTGAACACAATCTTGAATATACATCTCCAGTATTGCTCACTTCTTCACAATGTGGGTAACATCAAAGGATCAAGCATTAAGAAACATATAAATGTTTTGGGAAGTAACAAATCTTTTCAGTTTACTTGTCAATATTTCTGTGGAAAAGCATTTGCTATTTTGTTAAGTTCACTTGCATTGTTATCATATCAGCATACATTTGACTCAAGGAAGATTTTCTTGTTTCCAGATGACGGATGACACCAGCTGGACTGTCACAATGTTGAACAATATTCGTATCCAGTGCATTACTCAGATCACTTTAAATGTCACCCAGCAGATCATACCCTTCTGTCCAAATGAATGCAGTGGTGTTGGAACTTGTTTCAAAAGTAAGTTCTTTTAATTGAAGTTCTCATCACTCCCTATTTTGATGGTGGGTGAATGAGCTTAGGGAAAAAAGCATATTATGGGAAAAAGAACTAAGTATTGCATAGGCCTATACATGAAGCAGTTCTCTTCTTTCATAGCCTGATTTGGAATAAATTGTAAATTGTGAGATTGCTTGAAAGCTGGAAGGGAAAGGGGGGGAGGGGGTTTAAAAGTTTAAAAGGCATAACCTCATAAATAGTGGTAAAAAAAAAAATCAAGGATTCGCTATGTCTCTCTTTGGTCTGACAACATTGTTATTTAGACATGCTTCCACAGTATAAGACCATTAAGAAAGAAGCTGACCATTCAGTCAAAATGGTTGTTTTCAGTCTTTTTGCCCCACTTAAAAATTGTTCTGTGTCTAATTTCAAACGCTGGAAAGTTAGCTTTAAACTGCCATCAAGTCAACTGGGAGGGAAGGAAAATGTAGAGGGCATGGCCATAGATTTATAAATATATCCAGCACTGAAGTACTCCCAGAATTAGAATGCACATACCAAGTACCTCTTGTGACTCAAAAAAATAATATACATAACTGTCAACCACTACGTAAAAAGTGTATTAAATATATTTTTGAGGGTCTGAGCATGGCACTCCATTTTTGGTCCAGAAAATGCATGTTCTGTTTTCCTGCTCAGGGGCTTGCTGATGCGGAAGAAAAATTATGAACTTTCAAGACTAGATTTGCAAATAATTATGAGAACAAAGCCCATAGTCAATTAAAGAGGTCTTCTTCAATAGGTCTTCTTTGAATAGCTTGAATTTATTGAATGCAGAAAAGTGTGTGAAGGGTTTGGAGAGGGGTAAGTTATAGAGGAGTTGAGAATCAGTACTGTTAGTTTGCTTTTGATGCAAGAATTATAAGAAACATAATTTTGAATGTGACCTTCACTCTGTTTCAGATTATGTGTGCTTCTGCGGCCCTGATTATGGTGGCTTCGACTGCTCAATCAACCTGATGGTTCCTCCCATCCTGTTTGAGATTGTTGGTGGAAATCTGTGTGATCACAGACTTGATCCAGATGGTTGCAAGCAAATAACTGTCACAGGTTCCAAGTTCTCCCAAACTGTGTCTACTTTAAATGTGTTGCAGTGTCACCTTAAGCGTCTTGTGGTAAGAATTCTGTATAATCAAATCTCACTGTAAGTAGTGTGCAGAGTCAGGTTTTTTTACCCTCATAGCTCGGTGTTCATATACATTCAGACAGTGAGGAGTATTTTTTTTCTTGGAGAAAAAAAATGTTCATGCAGTTCTGTGAAAGATACTCAAAAGTCCTAAGTTGACTTGTTCAAGCCTTCCTGACTAACATGTTAGGGCTGTGACACCCCATGCCATGACTCAGCAAGAAAACTACCCAACTATTAACTCTTTCCGGACGTATCGCCGATATATCGGCTGCGATAGGGTGCCTCAATATTGTTTCGTTTTATCACGATCCATCAGTTATAATTACTTTTTATTGCTATTGAAAAACTCAGAAAGGATTTATAAAACGAAAACATGTAGTTTCACTTTGTCAAAGCGTGGGTTTTGGGGAAAAACGAGTGAATTAGTTCTTGCGTTCTTGCATCAACAAAATGATGTAACCAGACTCAGTATAAATACCATAACTCAACAAAAATTGGAATATTGCTTTCAAATAAAAAGCTGTGCATTCAGAAATTTATGGATTATGCTCTTGCCCTGTATATGATAAGATACCTATGCTGATTTGCTTCCACATGTTTGGTGAATGTAATTTTTTCCGTCAAAATTTATTTTTCTCACCGTCATTGCCATTTCTAACCCTTGTAATGCGTACTTATGTTCAAAATTAATCCTTGTTTCATACTGGGATGTATTCCTCATTCAATTTCTTTCAATTTGATATGTCATATGTTACGTTTTTGAGTGATGGTTATGCTTCTATGAAGTTATTTTGTACACCACCTGCATAGCCAAATCGAGCCAAAAGTTAATTATGTCTAGACCCCCAAAAAAACTACGTCCAGAAAAAGTTAATGTCTGTGATTGTGTATTGTAACATAAATATAATAATGATAATAATAATTAAAATAATTATAATCAGAAAAATAATAATAAAGATCACTTCTATAGCACCCATTCCCTAATGAATCTGGGCGCTTCACAATAAAATGAAATTTAAACCAATTCTTCATGCGTACCGACCTATTCAACATACCGCAATTCTTTCAAATACTTAGGATTACACCCTCCTCATAATCTGATAAGGAATACATACACAAAAAGACAATCACTGGCTACTGATCGCACTTGCTATGGGAGAAGTATCAAACTTGTAACATGTTATATGAGTTCTATTCCTTCTATGGTGAGCTAAAAGTGATTTGTGAAATTCCTCTCACAACAGCTGTTTAACATTTAGCGTTTGATAAGATATGAGATTTAGATCAAGTGATATCTTTTTTTTTCACTGTATTATTATTTAAAAAGTTGAGTGGCTTTCATTGTGCAGAAACTTACAAACATCTTTAGACTGCTGATGTATGCTATGTGCTAAGTCCTTAAGGCAATGTTTACTGTGTTAGAGTACACAAATCACTATTCATGAATGCATTATTTTTGTTTTACTAATGATTGTAAAAATTCATAATGTGGAAAATCAAAAAAGCCATGTATGTTTATGGTTGTTTGTGTCTGGGTTTTACATTTTGTGTGCGTTTAAAAGGTATCAAATCAAGACGTAACCAAAATTTAATATTTATCAAGTCAGGTGGTGGGCGGTCTTTTGAAATGTCAGCGTTCTGGAGGTGCCTTTTCTTTTTGTTTCAGGTCGGTGCCACAGACGTTTCTGTTGACGTCACCAAGACTGAGATCGTATTTGAAGCCACCTTTATCAGCCTTGAAGAAGTGCGATGTAATGTTGATCAGCCTGGCAGTTGGGAAGTGTCGATCAGTAACAAGGAGGGCTATGTCAGCTTACCTCTAGTATTCATTTCGTTCGACTCAAACTGTCAAGTTTGCAGTTTGACTGGATGTACCATAAGGGTCAGTGAAGAAAGTGGAATTTTGTTCAGTTTTCGCAGATGAACGTTATCTTTGTTGAGACTTAAACTTGTGCATCGTTTTACTTTAATTGGATTTGATTTTTACTGCAGATCATGTTTGAATATAGGTCGAACAAATATTTTAGCGTTAATAATATGTTTACTTTTTCAGTGCCCAGAATAGTTTTCTGTAGTTCCAGGATTGGCTTCCAACTTCAAATTTGTTTGAATTACTTTTTCAAGACTTTTCATGCAAAGTAATACACCAAAGGTATGTTAGTTTGCAAATTTATTGAAAATTGTATTTCTACTTTTTTTTTTTTTTTTTTTTTTTATAGTAGAGGGTTTTACAGCGCTCGCAACTGCATAAAGTCATATTAACGCCAAGGGGTGGGTGTCAACAGAGAAGTCTTTTCAGGGAATCAGACTTAGACTGCTCACCTCTCTAGCTTCAACAGCACAAGGTCTGCTTCGACTATCAAGGCACCCCAAAATAGCAGGTCAAAAGGGAGTGACAAACATACAAAAGAAGTAGAGGAAAATTACAATAGTAAGGATCAGGAAAGAAAAAGCAGTTCCCTGTTGTAGATCAGACACAGTTATGAGCATGACATGAGTCAGCCCATTTACGATTCCGCTATGCTTGAACGAGATATGTCTCCCCTTTGGGAATGGCCTAAAGACACTTCAGTCAGTGGCACTGCCTCGGGGAGCTATATTTATTAAAATCCACCTTGTAGAGGTAGAGTACGTAGCAATGCTATGGCTTTTGAGCGATTGTTGACTGCTTTCAGTTTAATGGTTCTTTCAAGACCCAGCAAGAATGCATTATTAATTTTTGTTAACAGGATGACGTCTGTAACATTGGTGGTGAATGCTATGAAAACGGGGCCACAAAGCCAGATGACAACACTCAGATTTGCAACACCAAAGTTTCAAATGTGGGGTGGACTCAAGTAACTGGTAAGTTTATTATACAGTTAGATAGTATACTACCAAGTCACTTTCTTATTTTTAAATAACAGAAAAATGCCTCAAAATGTTATATAAAACACTGTTTTCGCAATGTTTCTTCAAGGGTAAAAGTCTACAATGACTTACTTTTCAATTTTTTCACCTTAAAAAATGTCCTTGATTACTTACTAAGAAACTTTAAAATGATAGGACACCAGTATGGCCCTCCTTTCTGTTTTTACAGAAACACTAAACACAATAAAAGATTAACCTTTTTCCTTTACCTCTTCACTGCCGGCTATGAGCTATATAGCTGTGCCGGGGAAAATTGCTCCTATTACTACTAGCGTCACATAGAGCCCCTAACTCAGAAACTCCATTGAAATCGTTATCATCACTGTCACAGTCATTCATAATTTCGTCTAGAACTTCTGCAGCTGATAAGGAAGATCGATTGGCTGGTCTGTTGGATGCCATTGCGAAAAGAAAAGAAAAAAAAATCAGAAACACAACTCAGAACGTCAATGCTTCACTTCTTCAGAACCAAAAAAATAGCGCTCAGATTCACAGGAGGCTATTGTAATATCAGTGAGGATTAGTTTTGACACAGTTTTGTCCCTTTAAAAAGGGGAAAATTACCTCTAAAACGACTGCTTCAGGGCCTGCCGAATCAGCACCCCCATGGCACGGGGGAAGCATTTTTGGCCCCGTGCGAGCAGTGAAGGGGTAAAATCCAGTCCTTTTTACTGCCGGTTGGAGTTCTTTATAACTTGATAGCAATTTTTAGAGCTATTACAATAGATTTTCCAAATTTTTGTTAACAAATTGGGAGATTTTGGTGCCAAAATCTTTGCCCATGATACTGTAACTCTTATAGACTACTATTATACGTTAAATAAAGGTATATAGAAATATTAGTGCTTGAATTGAAAATACATAATTAATTTGTCATCCTGATTTTTGTCTTCCTTTATTTTTTGGACATGGCCTGTTGATGTCTTGATTTTTGTTGCCATTTTAAGCATGTTTCCTGTAAAATTAAATTATAACTCGTCATCTGACATCATTGTTCAAAATAATACTAAATATATTTATGTGAGTTAGAAATATCTTTTTAAACAGTCTGTAGAAAATTTCTAAGAGGAAAAAATGGAATCATGGCAAAGTGTGGCTAACCTTTATTTATCTCTGCTCATGCTTATGTGTCTCTTTCACAGTACCCAATATTCTAGAGTTGATCCAGCGTTACATCTTCATCCGTATTGAAGGCAACTTCCTGGTGACACCCACGTTCCAGTTACAGGTTTTTGGCACGCCTACACTTATTGATGGTCCTGCAGGAGGGAACGCCATTTTGTTTAATGGCATCAACGAATACCTCAGTCTTATGGACCTAACAGGTATGTTTGTACAGTGATCTGTTTTCATGACCTCTAATCATCTTCATCATCGTCATCTGCCTCTTTACCCACTCTGTTATTAGGTAGCCTATAGGCTGCCAAAAAAAGCTCTCCGTCCGTCTCTGCTCTGGGCGATCTTCTCCTCCTCCAGCCAGCTGTTCCACATGTGCCTGAGACCTGCCTCCAGATTTCATTCCCAGGTGGATCTTGTCCTTCCTCTCTTCCTCCTCCCCTAAGGATTCCCTCTTAGTCTTTGCCTTATCATATTGTGGATTGGCTTCATAAGTATATGCCCAATTCACTCCATCTTCTTTTCCTGATCTCCCTTTCAGTTAGCTATTGTTTGGTTATGATCTCTAGTACAAAATCATATATCATGCATGATTCAATCCAACCAACAATCCATTCCATTACTTAGTTCTGTCAAGAACAGCCCAAATTGTTTCAAGTCACTATATCAGTCAAATAATGATATGGAGGAATAGCTTGTGGTTTTGGCATAACACATTTATGAGGATATAAGTCTGTTGCATAATTATGATTTATCAGTTACACTCATCACTGTTTATACTGTCAACTTAATTTTTATAGAAAAAAAAAGATTTTAAAAACTGGGAGGCATTTTGTTTCAAACTAAGTCTGTGGAAAGCTTAGGGGTTTTTTAAATGTAGAAATGTTTATTTTCTAAGAATGTATGGTCCGTAGTAGTAATTAAAAGTTGAGATCCACAATCTAATTTATTGAAGATGGATAATGTTCTTTTTCATCTGCAATCACTTTGTTGCAGCTCAATTTTATTGTCTTTATTTCTGCTGAAAGGATACAATATAATATTGTCTATTCAATAATTCTCTTTTCTAAATTTTCCTTATTTTAGGAACTTGCTTAGGGGACCTGTCAAAGTGCATATATGGGCTTACGATTAAATTTTCCCTGGCCATCAATGAGTTCCGCAATGATATGTACATATTGTCATGCGGAGGAGACACTAAGGACACCTCAGGCTTATCCATATGGTGGAAAGGCAGCCATCTAAGAGCTCGAGTGAGAACAGAGACGAAGGAATGGAAAGTGAGTATGCTCGGACTGAAGAGATACTTGCTTTACTTTACTTTTCCGATCCAGTGGCCATCTGAGTTCAAACAGAAGAGATCAAGTTAAAGCAATGGATAATTGTATGAAAGGGGTGGATAATTGTATTTTATCATGCTCATTTCTTCAAGTCACTTAAAAACTAGATGTGTGTACATTGTGCTCATTAAAGTGAATATGCAGTCCCCCCCCCCCCCCCCATCCACTGACAGTGATCTCCCTGTTAGTCCCAGTATGTCTGACCACACAACTTCCCATAATCTGTATAATCTGTCGTAAGCGTCTCAATTAAATCTCTAGTTGTAGTCATATTGTCCTTTCCCTATTCTTCAATGAACTGTTCTCTTAATGGTTTAAAAGCTTTTTTTTGCTTTCTTTCCTTCTCTCTTTTTTAATTACATTACTTTACCAACCTCTTGTTTGACTCTTACCATTTGCATTTTTTTTTTAAAGCATCCACTGACTTTTCTCCTTTTCTGAGTCCTTAGTCCTTATTTTATTTTTTCCGTGTCTTCCATTTATTTGATTTTTGCTTTGACTTTCATTCATTTTTCATCATTTTTAATTTTACAATCATGTATGTTTTCATCCCGTTTTGACTGGTCATTCAGGAAATATCTCCGTGTAAAGTGGGTAATGCCCATGATATTTTGTGTTAATTTGTATTGTAACAGAGGCTTCTCCTTTGTTTTCTTTATTCTCCAGTCAGTCAGCTCCTTCTGTCATCTTGAAGTTTATTCACATGATTTTTCAGCTTCTCAAATTTAGTTGCTTATAAGGAGATTAAAAAGCATCAAAGATACTCCTCCATTAGTGTTCAGCCTCAGTCTCGGATATGAAACTAGTGGTTTGGGGGGAGGAGGTTAAATGTTTATGAAATGTTCTCTTTTGCAATAAAAGATTAATTTCATGCTTACTTAACTTTTATATATTATGGGGGGTCTGTTCGTTACTTGCACTACACCTTGCCACGTTCAGTGTGATTTTGTTCATAACGTGATATATTTTTTTTTTTATTTGAAGAAGTTATCTTCAAAGTGCTGTCTGTGTGACTATGGGTAGCTTGTTTAAGGGAGAGTCCGGGGGGG